AAATTGGCTTAATCACCAAATTAGATTGAGATTAATCTTATTCTAATTTAGTTCGTTTTTAAGACCAGACTCATATTCCTCCCAAAAGATGCTTAAAAATTACAAAAATAAATCCAAATCGATGTTATTTCATTTATTTTATTCGATTTAGCTCGTTTTTGAGTGAATTTTTGTCAAAAAACAAAAAGAAAAAGAAAAATTAAGTTTCTCCACCTGTTTTTTCACGTTTTTGAGCTAAAATTTCATTTTTTTTACAACATTTTCAAGTCATGATTTTCAAATTTTGCAAAACCCAAATATTTCGCAAAATTAAAAAATCGTTTTGGGTCAAAAATAATGTCATTTTTGCATTTTTGGAATATTTAATTAAATTTTTAAATAAATAATAAGATAAACAAATAAATATAAATAAAAATAAATAAATAAGAACAAATATCTAGTTTTTTTCGAAAAATTTTGTCAAAAATTGATTAAAAATTGGAAAAAAATCGAAAAAGACAAAATTTGGCCGAAAATTGAGTTTTTTTTAACTTTTTCTCTCGTTTTCGAGAAATGTTGGAGTTTTTAAACAAACAAAAGCCCGAATAGGGTAAGAATTTTTTTAAATAATTTTTTGACCGTTTTTATAAATGACATGCAAGTTGCCAACCGAAAAAATTGAATAAAAAAACCAATTGTAATAATAATTGTTCTCAATTAATTACTTTAGTTTGTATAATTGTTAGCGTTTTTAACTAAATAAAAGTCCAAATAGAGTAACAATTTTTTTAAATAATTTTTTGCACGTTAATACAAATGACGTGCAGGTTGCCAACCCCAAAAAGAGAAACATAAATAAGCCAAAAAACCCTTTTAAAAATCAGAATTGCTTTTTAATACCTAAATGTATACAATTGTTGGCGTTTCGTGTCAATAAGGGGCTCAAATTTTGTAATTTTGAATTGTTTTGCCCCCCTCAAACCTCACCTGTCATTAGTGTCACTTTTGACACCTAACCTCCAAACTTACATAACACCCAATTTGTGTCAATTCCTCGCGTAAACCATGGGCAAAGCGTCGCAAACGGGGGGCGTCAAGCCCATGTCCATCGCCGGTCGCTTCACCAGCGAGCGTGAGCGTCTTTTAGGCATGACAGACGAAGAACGGGCTTTCCGTAAACAATGGCTCAAGGACCAAGAATTGGCCCCAAACGAGCCCCGACCGGTCCCTGAAATGTACAAAGCCACCTACAACCCCATCCGACGCGCCTACCGCTGGCCCTTGGACCAGTTAGCCAAAGTTTTGCTTCCAGTTTTGGGGGAAGAACGCACAAGGAACGTGAGATATGTCACTGGGAAGGCTTTTCTGGGGGTCATGACCCTATATTGGTTCACCTACTACTTCAAATACAATGCGAATGATTGGACGAGAGCTGGGGGGTGGAAAGTCTACAAATCGCGGGAGGCGGTGGTCGAGGGGGATCCCGGGTATCCCAAGTTGTCTGATAGGGTCAAGCCCTCGGATTACGCCTCAAGGGGGTTCAAGGATGTTAACTTAAACTTGTAAATCAATAAACATGTAGCGATTTTTAGTTAAATAAATTTGTATTTGAATTTGGCGGTTTTTTGTGTGT